CATCATAATAATTCATGGTAGGCTGTGACAAGAATGCAAATGCAAAATATTATGCAAAAGATATAGCTAAAGAAACCAACAGAGATTAAAAACCTCTATAAATCCAAAAAGAGCCTGAGAAGGAGAAACTAAGAAAAAAAGAAGAGAACAGATGAATAAAATGCACAAGGGAAACAGTATATATAAACGCTCCACTAAAACTCTTCTATGCCAGTCATAGGGATGTAGTTTGGTGCACCTGTTATGGAAAACAGCGTGGAGATTCTTAAAAAACTTACCCTATGATCCAACAATCCCACTTCTGGGCACATATCCAGAGGAAACTCTAATCCAAAAAGGTACATAAACTGCAATGTTCATAGCAGCAATATTTACAATAGCCAAGACATGGAAGCGACCTAAATGTCCATCAATTAATGACTGGATAAAAAAGTTTATATATATACATGTATATATATAATGGAATATTATTCAGCTGTAAAAAGGATGAAATAATGCCATGTGCAGTAACATAGATCTGGAGACTGTCATACTAAGTGAAGTCAGAAAGAGAAAGAAAAATACCATATGATGTCACTTATATGTGGAACTTAAAAAAATGACACAAATTAACTTATTTATAAAACAGAAACAGACTCACAGACATAGAAGGCAAACTTATGGTTACCGGGGAAAAGGAGGGAGTGGATGGATAAATTGGAAGTTTGGGATTTGCAGATACTAACTACTATATATAAAGTAGTTGAACAATCAGGACTTACTGCATAGCACAGGGAACTATATTCAATGTCTTGTAATGAAAATGAATATGAATGAAATGAATATAATGAAAAAGAACATGAAAAGAAATATATAAATGTATAACTGAATCACTAGGCTGTACACCAGAAACTAACACAGCACTGTAAGCCAACTATACTTCAATAAAATTGTTCCAGTTAGATTGGTTTAAAAAGAAAAAGTATAAACTATATGCTCTTTATAAGAGGTGTACTTTATACGTGAGGAAATACAGGCAGAAATCAAAAGGAGGAATGGTATATATCGTGCAAATGCCAGCCATAAAAGAGACAATGTGTGCAAATTAAGACCAGACAAAGTAGATTTCTGGACCAGAGATATTACCAGGAGTAAAAAAGAAAATTTCTTAATGATAAAATGGTTAATCTAACAACAAGATAGAACAATGCTAAATATGTGTACGTCAAATAATAAAGCTTCAAAATAAAAGAAATAAAAATTGGCAGAACTAAAGGGAGCAATGGACAAATCCATAATCATAGCTGTGAATTTTAACCCACTTCTGTTAGGACTTGATAACACAGTAGACAAAAATATGTAAGAATAAAGAAGATTAGAACCATGCTATTACATAATTAATCTAATTGACTTTACTCAGCATTTACCAGTTACACATTCTTTTCAAAGACACATGAGACATCACAACAAAACATATCTTGCCATTTAAAAAAAACCCTCAGTGGTAAAAATTATAATCCAGACTCAAAATCCTGGATCTTGTAATTAGCATCGGTTCCCAATTTGGACCATAATAGACACTTTCATTCAAAGGGACGGTGGGATGGGAAGGAGGCACATAGTAGTCACTATTCCTTAGCAGTCCTGAATCCACTTGGGCACAGTGTCAGGGTCCTCTACTGGCAGCAGAGAATGTTCCCTTATGATGCTCTCTGGGACTGGTCCCCTAATCCTTTGCAATTTGTATACATTGGCTCCACTCCCTGGGTCTGTCCTCTGAAAAGTTCTTCCATTTATAGTAAAAAATGACCTATGTTTGCAGCTGAGTAGCTTTCTTGGGTGGCTTCTGGTTCATACAGAGTTGGGAGTCTGGAGTATTTTTATTTTGGACTGCCCGTGTCCCTTTTAGTCCAAGTTGACTGTACTTTTATCAATATGATACAACACAATACAATATAATACAATACAAATTACTACAAATATCTTGACATTTTTGTGGTTTTTCTATGAATCTTTCATAGGTTTTACTCCATGAGTTTCCATCTTTCCAGCCTCTGCTAACAGTCTGTTTGCCATATATCCAACCTTCACCAGCAATCTCCTTGCTAATTTTCAAGCCTCAGATCATTCCCAAACCAATGCCACGCATTTTGTGTTTCTGTTATGGAAATACCCCACTTTGAGGTACCAATGCCTGTGTTAATTATTTATTGCTGCAGAACAAATGATATAAAACTCAGCAGCTTAAAATAACGATTATCAGGGGGAGGAGGGTAAAGCTCAGTGGTAGAGCACATGCTTAGCATGTATGAGGTCCTGGGTTCAATCCCCAGTACCTCCATTAAAAAGTAAATAAAAATAAATAAACCTAATTACCTCCTCCCCCCAAATAAATATATAAAAACAAAGTTAAAAAAAAGACCAAGGGAAAAAACCCAATTATCTATTATTTCTCACAAGCTTGTGGGTTGGCAGGGCCATTTCTTGCCGGCCTTATCTGGGATAACTCGTGAATCTCTAATCACATGGTGTGATGTCTAGGGGAGTTTGGAAGTGGGGCCTCTTATTCAACATAGTCTACTTTCAAGTTCTTTGTAACAAGGTGGCCTTGTGATTCAAAGAAGGAATGCCCCAGTAGGCAGGTGCTTATCAAGATTTTATTTTGCAGCATGTTTGCTGACGTCACATTGGGCAATACAAGTTCAGAACTGTCATGAGAACATTCTACATCAGGGCATAGGAGCAGGAAAGAAGATTCTTTGGGGCAGGAACTGCTATCACAACCAACTTCAAAAGGAAGAAGCACAGTTGTTTTAATTTACAGTTGACATGATTATGTACATAGAAAACCTGAAAGAATTTAGAAGCTACTAGAACTAAAAAGTGAATTTATGAAAGTAATGAGATACTAGGTCAATGGATATATTTGCAGTATTTCTATATGCTGATTGGAAAAAACAGAAAACTAAAACAAGAAAAACCATTTACAATAGATTAAAAAAAACAGCTCCCTAGGTATGAGTTTAATGAAAAATGTGAAATATATCTATACAGAGAACTATAAAACATTACTAAGAAAAATTAAAGAGACCAATAAATAAAAATTATACCAAGTTTATAGGTTAAAGGTTTTAATATTGTTAAGATATTAATTATGTCCACATTGATCTCTAAAGAGTCAATATAATCCAAAATAATATCTCCTCATTTCTTTTTTATAAATTTTAGAAAGAAATTAAAACGACTTGTAGTAACAAGATAATCTAATAAATGAAGAGCAATTTTAGAAGGTTTATGTGGTTAGATTTCAAGACATACTAGGAAGCTACAGTAATTAAGGCCCTTGGTGATACTATAACACTAGAAAAATTTATCACTGGACCCAGAGTCCAGAATTAAACACACACACACACACACACACTCACTCTCAACTGATTTTCCACAAAAGTACAAAAACAGTTCAACAAGGAAACAAAAATCTTTTCAATAAATAGTACAGAAATAACTACACATAATTTTAAAAAATATAGATTTTGACCCTTAGCTTATACAGTACATAAAACTTAATTTGTGGTATGTCATAGACATAAACGTGCTAGCCAAAACTACAAAGCTTTTAGAAAAATTTTCTTTACATACTTGGGGAAGGCAAGTATTTCTTAATTAGAATCCAAAAGTCATTATCATAAAGAAAAACGATGATAAATTAGACTTCATTAAAAAAACTTATCAAAAATATCAATGAAAGGTTTAAGTCCAAATTAGGACGAAAAATGTTAACAGTAAACGTATCTGACAAAGGAATTATATCTAGAATGTATAATAAATTCAGAAAAACATAATAAAGCCAATTAAAATTAGCAAATACTTAAAGTAATACTTCACAGAAGAAAATATCCAAATGGTCTTATGAAAAGGTACTTATCATCATTTTATCAGGGAAATGCAAATAAACATGGGCTCTGAATCTGGAAACCCTGGGTTCAAATGACAAATTCTAACTCCACATATGTGCTGCATGACCTTACACCAGTGACTTAAACTCTCAGTTCCATCACTGGAAATAGGATAATAACAATCTTTATAGGATTTTTGTATATATATATTTAGTTACGGTGCACAGTAAGCACTTAATTCATTTTAGCTATTACTAATAACTAGTACTTGAAAACATAAATTTAAAGCTACATTATATTCTTTCATATAATAATTGCTTAGCCAATGCTTTATTTTGGACAAATTATATTGTTAACATATTTCTATTTTCAGATGAAATGCTATAATAAATGATCCTTTTCTGATTATTCTGTTTGCTCTTAAGCCTGAGTCCTCTTCTGTCTTTCTTTCACTGTCCCAAAAGTCTAACTTCTGAGAACTTAATCACAAAGTCTCCTCTGTCTTCTTCCTTCCGGTTGGGTTGGGACAGTGGGAGACAGGCAAGAGATGGGAGGGTACAAGCAGAGACAAATTGGGGTGTTTATCTTCTTGCTCTTTCCTTGCATGGCTATAGTTCTGTCAATAGTTGCTTTTTTTCCCCCCAAAGCCTGAGTTCCTACCAAGAATTTTCTCTCTATAGATCTAGCTCTCATTGGTCTCTGATAATCCTCTACCCTCTCATTTCTCTGTGATCTGGGGATCATAATAGTTTCCTGCTATTATCAGTATGTGTGTAGCTACCCCTTACTGGTTCTCTTACTAATATTTCTGAATATAAACTCTATATTTTTTTCTATTATTTTTAAAAACTATTGAATGAGCTGTCTGTTTCCAGCTGATACCTGAGGTGCAGCCTTGTACTATTACATTATACTCATTTGTTAAATTCTTTTAAAAAAATTATTGAGTCTAACAGTGGAAACATTGTAAAGATGTTTGGCACATATAGCTAAACAGTATCCAGATAATTTATGCCATATTTTAGATCAGCTATAACATCAGCTATATAACTGAGAGAAATCCCCGTTGGGTGGGAATTTGCAAGAGCTGGAACCAAACCCTGGCTTGAGAAGTCATACCCTTTCCTAGCTGTTCTGGGAGAGGCAGTTTCTGGTAAGAGCTCTCCCTATGGCCCCCTTCATCTCACTGTTCCTCAGGGTGTAGATAAGTGGGTTGAGCAATGGGGTTCCTAATGTGTACACCAGTGAGATGAACGGATCTTGCTTGGGGTGGTAGCTGGAGCTGGGGCGCAGGTACATGAAGGCACAACAGCCATACTGCAGCAGGACCACAGCGAGGTGGGAGCAGCAGGTGGAGACGGCCCGGTGGCGGCCAGCCGCTGAGTGGATCGTGAGCACAGTGGCCACGATGAAGGCGTAGGAGGTGGTGATAAGGAAGAAGGGCACAGCTATGGCTAGTGTGGCTGCCACCAAAACTGACCGCTCATGGATGTGGCTCTCGGAACAAACAAGACACATCACTGGTGGCACATCACAGAAAAAGTGCTCGATACCTCGAACCTGGCAAAATGGCAGAGAGAATATAAAGGCCACCAGTTGTAAGGACAGGAACAAGCCAATGACCACAGAGGCTGCAATCAAGCGGACAGAGAGAGTTAAAGTGATGATGAGAGGATACTGCAAAGGGTGGCGAATAGCAACGTATCGGTCATAGGCCATGGCAGCCAAGAGCAAGCAGTCGGCACTGCCAAGTCCAATGAAGAAAACCATCTGAGTGGCACAGCCCAGGAGAGTGATGGTCTTCTCTGACTGCAGGACGTTGGCCAGGATGTGGGGCACCACCACAGCCGTGTAGCATATTTCTACCCCCGAGAGGCTGCCCAGGAAATAGTACATGGGTGTGTGCAGGCGAGCTTCTGTCTGGATGGCCACCACAACGAGGACATTCCCAGTGATGGCCAGTGTATAAACCAGGCTGACCCCAAGGAACAACAGGACATGCAGCTCTGGGGGCGAGGGATAGGCCAGGAACACAAACTCCATCCACGCTGAGCTATTTCCCCAGGCCATTGAGCTAACAGCTTTTCTCTGCCAAGAGTTATAAAGAAAGAAGAATGTATCAGACTGACAATACATTAGTTCACACTCTCAGCCCTGATGTCATCCAATCAGGGCTGGAGCTAGAAACTAGAGGAATTAGGACTATTTCTCTTTGTTCATCCTCCTTTACTGAGTCTCTTCACAGAAATAGCTACAACTTAATATCTAACTGCCAAGAATTGAGCTAAATTGTATAACTTTTTGAGGAAAAGAAGCAGAAGAAGTTTATTTTTCAAAGCTATTTTTGGTAGAAGTGGAATGAAAATTAAACTATTATGACATTTCACAGGGAAATGTCAAGGAATTCTTGACAGCAGGTGGCATTAAATTGAGAGCAGGAAGCTATTCATTCATCCCTTCATTCATCCATATATTTATTTGGTATTGACTCAGGGGTATGTGGATATAACACTGAAAAGCTAGTGATATGATGGAAAATAAAGGAAAAAATGATGCCCATAGATAAAAAGCTGACATGGTCTGCAACTGACAGTGTTGGGAATAAACATCAGAAAACAAAGCCTCTATATGCCTGGCTTCTCCATCCATATCCAACCAGGGGGCCTTGTCGCAGGGCTTCTCCTGGCTCGAGGTGGGTGGTGTGGGACCTAAGAATCCTTCCTGTGAGTTTGGGGATGAATAGAAAAGACTGAGCCAGTTTCCGTTTATTTCTCCTCTCTTCTACGAAGCGAAAGTGAAATCTAAGAAAAACCATCTAGCTTCCTTGAAGTTTCTAACAAAGAGACATAAATCTCAAAGGGTATCCATTCCACTCCTTTCCCCAAACCAACTTACTCAGGAAGATGGAAAAGACGCAACATGTGACCTTGATTCAACTTGCCTGATTTTAATGTATACCATTTATTATGAGCTTTGAGGAAAATCTTGATCCAGAAGCACCACTCTAGGAAAAACCAGTCACATAAACCCAATGTAGTGCCCCAAGCATGGGGGGGAATGTGGTTAGAGACTGTCACAAGTATCAAGAAGACCTAGGGTGCAAAAGGCTCTGTTGTTTTTCCAACAACTAACAAGTCGTGTCCATTTCATTCTCTTTCTCATTTCTGAACTTCACTGATGCTTTGAATAATTTTTAATGCCACCGAGCATGTTCAAGATAGTGTTATAACATGGGGAGGGAGGATTATACTGAGTGAAGTAAGTTTTGGTATTAAATGATGTGGTTTGAGTAACCGCATCTCCTGACTCTGTTATGCTGGGCAATACGTAATTTCTTTGAGTCCCTTTTTTTTTAACTTGAAAAATGGGTATAATAATTATGCTTAATTCTAAGGGTTGTAGTGAGGATTAAATGAGATTTTGAGGTTAAATATCTACTACAAAGCCTAGGTCATAGTAATAGCAACCTAATGATGGGTGACCATGATTATTGTTTATAAATTCAAGGGCAACCATCCTCCCTTGTTTATATCATCTCCCATATCCCCGAGTCTAATCTTGCACAAATTATAGACATTCAATATATGTTGCATGGATAAATATACTGTGAAAAACATGTCATTTACACTTTTTTTCCCATTTTTTCTTTTACTTTTAAGATTATTTCATAATCAAAACACTTGTTTAGGAGCCCTTATGGAAAACAACGTGATATCCAACATTTGAGCTGCACTGTGGAAAAATCCCGTCACCCAGAGACATAGTGTATAGAGGAACATAGCAGACGTCCAAGGCTTCTCTCCCACCCATGTTATGACAGAAGGCTCTGCGATCTGTGTGACGATGATGACGTCTGAGAGCTTTATTACAGTCAGTCACACTTACGTCTTATTAGCAGTGCCTTCCAGGAGCTACAATAAAATATTTATAATGGAGTTATCTACAGGTCATGAATTCTTAGTGCTGGAAAGGACCTCAGTTCAGTCCTACGTCAGATACGTGAATTGCCCATCTGTATCTGAACATCAGGTCACCTTCAAAGCCTAGAAAATCTCATTTCCTCCTGACTTGCTTGCTCCATTGTTGGATGACACCGTTCTCTAAGAGCTTTTTCTCGTAATGGCTGAAACTTACCTTTGTGCAACCTCCACATACTTGTTCTGTTCTATACAATGGGGCCATTTCTGCATGAAATGCTTCAGGAGTTAAAGAGCTACTATCATGCAGTCCTAAATTTTCTTCCCAGTTTCCTTTTTGCTGTTCCTCACATGACATGGTGCTGGTGTGTCTCAAAAATTGAGCTCAGTAAAGCTGTCTCAGCCCTGTACGTGTTCCTGTCTCTACTTTTCCTGCATATCCTACTTGCAGCCAGTTCATTCACTATTCCATGAAAGGAGCAGGGATTATCTTATGGAAACAAGAGAGAAGCAAACAAAAATTCAACTTTGTGTAAATAAGTATGCCGAGGAGAGGTCAAATTAATGAAATACTGAGAGAAATATTACATCTATATATACATATATTTTTATTGCTATAAAAGAAAAGATATTTAAACATAAAAAATTTAGCTTGGGAAACGCTCTCATTTTAAATACCTTACTTAAAATTGTACTGCATGGGGCAGATCACAGAAATGATCAGATAAAAAGAACTAGGTCTCACTTATCTGTTCATTGGAAGTCTATTTCTTTAATCAAAATTGGATTAATTCACATGCTTCTGTTTGATTGTTTGAATAGTCTCCTCAGATTTGGATGGATATATAGCTCCCTGGATGCTCAAACTTTAAACGTAACTTTTTCATTTCCAAAGAAACACAACATCCTCCATCAATCCTCTAACACTGATGCATTGCTCTCGTCTGTTGAGATGGACATTTAATACAATCTTCAATGTGTGACTCCACATCTTAACTATCCTTCCTGCAGTCACTCACATTTATTTTTTTATTAAGTGCCAAGCCCATATACAATGGTTATCAAAATTGCATAGTTGTGCCCAAGTGATTATATATCCTAATGGGAGAAACAGACGCTGTTAAAGAATCTGGCATGTATAAATATATATGTATGTATATATATATGTGTGTGTGTATATATGATATTATACACATTTATATATGTATATGCTACATATCCATATAATTACAACTGTGAGTAAATGCTGCAAAATATAGCGTGTTGTCAGATTGTGCAACATTGGGCTCTGGCATAGTTTATGATTAAGTTTATGAAAGAGCTTCCTAGAGGGAGGAATATTTAATCTTAGATCTGAAAAATAGAAGCTAACTAGGAGAAGCAAGATAGGTAGAGTAGTGGGTCCATATTGTGAACAGGCGAAAAGGTGGATTTTGTGGTTAAAAGAGAGTGAAATACATTATATCAACATGTTGTCAATTTGCTGTTCCAGGGTGTTACTAACTAACATAGTGTCAACTTGCTATTCCAAGTTGTTACTCTGTCATATTGCCTGTGACAGAGGCACAGTAAGGGCATTTTAGCATCATCCTCAGAAACCTGCCCCAGGCTGGTGTCTGTTCATTAATCCACACCCATCATAGTGCCTCCAAGTCACATCCTAAGTCACATTCTCATCTTCCTTCTTACTCCTCCAGCCAGACCAGCTTGAGATGGCAAAGGTGTTGTGAGAAATGTTTTCCATGTGCATTGTGGAAACACAGAAAGTCTAGACTGGAGCAATTTTCCAATATTCTAATTAGCGCCATGCGAAAAAAAAAAAAAAAAGGAGGACCGTGGATATGGCAATAAGAGACCCACAGTAGAAACTCAGTCTATTATTGTCACCTGGACAGATTATCTTACATTAATTTCTCTTTCCTCAAGTTTAAAAGATGTAAATAATGATACTTACCTGATGGAGTTGTGATAAGATTAAATTAGATGAAGTATTTAGAACCCTTCATTTGATGTACAGAACTTTTAAAATTGCATAATAGATGTTAATTCTTCTCTCCTTTGAATCTTTTAAGGGGATGATAATAATACTTGCTTCATAGCAGAGGATTAAATGAGGTACCTTATGAGGAAAAGGTTTTTTATTAATCCTTAAGACTTATCTGAATATATATTAGTCATTCTCCCAAATTTATATTTCTATCCCTCAATATTAGACTGGGATTAGTAATTACCATTTTAACCTGAGGAATAGGCCTTCCAAGTGAATTCAGAGAAACACTGTAAGTCATGGGCTGACCTAGTTCTGAAATCCTGACGTCTTTACTTGTGGAGCCATTAAGTGCTTTTCTAACCAGCATCAGTAAGTGCCTAGTATGTTGCTAGTCCACAAGGAGGTAGAAAAGACTTTCTCTTACTGTAAGCAGGAGAAGGGAGAGGGGTACACCGAGCCTGTCTTCTCAGTCACAATCATAAAAGACAGAACGTTGCAGGTGATGTCTGACCCCTCTGGTGGACGGAGAAAGGAGGAGCAAGGGAGAGATGACTCAGTAGGACTGAGGCTTTATTAACCTTCCCAAATTAAAGCCCATGGAAGGAGTAAGTTATTTTGCTATCTAGGGTCCTGTCTTATGAACTCCATCTCCCAGAAGAAGGTGGTGTAGTGATTACTGATCTCCTGTTACCAGATAATTAGTCCAACTAGAACTGTCTCTCTGCTTGGGATCTGCTCGCTGTCCATGGAAGGTCACGGGTGTGCTCCTCCAAGTAAAGACCAGTGTCAGACACTTCAGCAACATTCTCAGTGCTTGAAATAATTTCCTGAGAAATATGAAGTTACCTAATCAAGGTCATGTAAGCTTCCTGTTTCAAAGAGCTTACTTCTACCAGATTATCATTGCTCTCTGCTCAGCCCAAGTCACCAATTATTATCACTCCAGAGAACTGAAACCGTGTTTCACATTTTGCCTGGCTTCCATGAGACCCAGCAGAGTGCTATATGCTTAAGAGGTCCTCAGTGGCTATTTGTCAAATTTTTCTTTGTCTGACTCTCCTTGAGCAGAGACATCCCATAGGTCTTAGTGAAATTAGCTTATTCCTTGAAGAGATGTTGCTCGGTCATGTGTGTAT